TCAATATGTGGGTCCTGGGGATCAAGCGCAGGTCCTGGGGTTCAAACACCTTCCCACTGAGCATCTCCACAGCCATCCATCCCTTTAATGTGCCCAATGTATCTGGAGCACAGGTAGAGCCTAGAACTACTAATCTATAACTTTCCATCTTTAACTGGACACTCTAGAGTCCAACAGCATTCCCTTTGGGAGGTCAAGTCACCTTTTCACAGGTGTCACGCATCAAATATCCTACTTATCAGATGTTTACATTACAATTCATAACAATAGCATACTGTTAAGAAAGTAGCAACTTTCTTAATAATTTTATGATTGGGGGTCACTACAACATGAGGAACTGTATTAAAGGGTTACAGCATTAGGACGGTTGCAAACCACTGGTTTAGTTACTGAGAGTTAATTGTGTGAAAGCAAGCTGTCTCCTAAATGAAAGCCTGCACCTGAAAACCAGCTCCAACACCTGAGATTCTGGGCTTCTTCCTTCCAATTCCTGTGTTGACCATGGTCTCCAATACACTGAACTTACCAAAATGAAAGCACATACATGAGCAGAGTGGTTTCCTTGTGCTGTATTTTGTTTAGTTACCTCTTTTTTTTTTTTTTTTTTTTTTTTTTTTTTGTACTGGGAATCAAACTCAGCCTTATACAGCTCAGCAGATGCTCTGCCAATGAGCTGCACCTGGGGCCTCTACCAGTGTCTTGTTGCTAGAAGGGTAAAGACTTCCACAGAAAATGCTCAGCTTCATTTGAAGACAAGAGACAGTAAAATCCTTTGTAACTGGAGGCAGCTGCACTCTGCTTGTCATCATCTGGTACAGAGGTCTCAAGGACAGAGACCAGAGGGAGACTATGCTGTATACCTTAATGCTTCAGTGAGATAGGGAGAGGGGGAAACACACACTTCCAAAGCTTCTTTGAAGTCATCAGAGACCTTGATCCTCCTTGACTTTATAACTCTAAGAAACAGCAAGTTAAAGATATTACAAAGTCGATGGAGAAAGATGAAAGTGTCTACCACTCAAACGGTAGACACTATTTTCAGAAGGGAATAGCCCAGACTCTGCCTTTCATAGCTGGCTGTGGTCTGAAGGAACCACAAAGGAAATTCAGCCTAGCCTAACAGTCATTTCAGAAGAATGAACTGGACCATGAATCCGCAGAGCAGTGCCACTGTGCTTCAAGCAGGATGCATTTTAAACTGCACAAACTCACCTAACAAATTCCTACATATGTCATAGATACAGGGAAAGTTCCCCCTGCAAGCCCGGAGGAACTGTGATATTACTGTGTGTATGATTTTGCTGTCATTTTTGACCACAGTTCCTGGCGTATTCTTCCTCAGCAAGGCAGGCAATACTGGCTAAATCTTCTCTTCTCCAGGGCAGGTAGGTTATCAAAGCTCAACTCTTCCCTCACCTTTCTATATTGGAGTTCCTGCCTGGCTGCGTAGGAGAGGGCCACAAATCGTCAATGACAAGACCTTTATCTCAGAAGCCGGTCTTGGCCGATGCACACAAGGAAGGAATGCTACACAGACGGCCTACAAGAATCTGGACAGACAGGCCCTTCTGAAATTTTCATTTAGGATTATTTGCACTACATCATAACCCTTTTGTCAGTTTCATTGCAGCCTGGTCATCCTTGCTTCAGTCACAGCTAAATCACAGAGCTTGAGAACCTATGAGGACAAACTCTGGTATAAACTGTGGTAACATGGGGTAGTCTTAAAGGAGGTGGACTTTCTGTAGCCCTTCTCTCACTCCTCATTCTGTGTGTCTCCTTGGAAAAACTTTCTGTGCTCCGTATAGTGAACTAGTAAATGTCCTTGGCTCTATTCTCTGAACTGCTCTTTGAGGGAATTATGGGAACTTTCATGTATGCCCAGTCAGATGTCCAGATAAAAACAATGGCTGATACCTCAAGGTAGGGGCAGTTTGGTGGATAGAGATCTGAGGCTGTCTCCTGGTACACAGTGCAGGACTTAATTGCATTAGAGGACACCCAGCAGGGGTCTGAAACAAACTACTTGCTTAATGGTAGAAAGAAACCCCTCCACTCTATGACATCACAGAAGTGACTTGTGAGCTGCATACACACATACACAGTAACACAAGGTAACTTAAAATACTCAATAGTAAAACAACTCCATAGCAATATCCTACCAACATTCATTTGTATCCCCCCCAGCCCGGGGGTGGGGGTGGGGGTGGGAATAGTGGAGCTCTTTCTTTTTCCTTGGTTTCCTGGCAACTGCTGGTTTTCTCTAGAAAGGATCATCACTTTGCCCAGGCCCAGGTTTCCCAGCATGCCTTGCATGGGATCTATGTTGCCTCTTCCAGTCTCCAAACTACTTAGGCAGAACTTCTGTTCTCAATTTGTTTATCAGAAAGTCATTGTGTTCAGATGTTATGGGAATCTGGGCAAACAGGCTATTCCATCACAACTCCAAGGCCCCTGAAAGCAGGGATTCTCAAGTTGCTGGCCAGTTGCTGAGGAAACAGACTCAGGATCCAGTTATTGACACTGTCTGGCTGAATAACACATTCAATCCCCTTTTTCTAATATCTACAGCTTTTGGATTATTTCAGGATGCAAAGTCATTAGTATTCTTAATTTAAAGAGGAAGCCTTTGGACAACAGTCTGTGGCTATAAATCAATAATAAAGATTTATTCTGAATTATGGTGTTTTTACCTGACTCTGAAATTGGATCTATCCCCCATCTTTTGTCTTTCAGCTTTTAAATTTGACTTAACATCTGCCTCTGCCAGGTTCCTGTGGTGAATTGATAGAAATTAGAAGAGACGGGGTCCATTGACTCAGAAGACCTGTGCCATTAGTTAAGTCCTCCCTCTGTTTCTGCAACTGACCTGACACCCACTTAGTCACCTTGGTTTGGCACTTACCTGCGACGACACTAACACTTAAGACAGCAGAACTCAGAACAGAGATTGGGAGGTAAATAAGAACTTTCTGGTTGAAAAAAAAAGGTGAAAAATCAATATTTCCATTAGCATTTAAAAGCAGACTTTTCAAAGAACATTTATTTGTTTAGCTGACAGTAATGTACCAAGAAAACCAGGTCCTTTAAAGACCACAAAATCCATGACTACCACAATAGTAGTGCCCATCTTTCTCTTCCAATTTTGTTTAGAAATCTCATCAATAGAATTCAAACCTGAAAACAGGCAAACAAACAAAAACCTGCCTAGCAAATATATATTCACATAAAGGGTACATATTCTAAGAAAGAGAATAGGATGAAAGCCTAGTCATAAATGCCAAAATTATTAGTAATATGCCCTAACTAAGAAACTGATCTCTCAAAGTTTGCCATGACAGGCAGAAATTTGAACATTTCATATATATATGTACAAACCATATATATTTTTATATGTGTGTATGAACCATGTGTGTATATATTTGGATTTTCAAGACAGGGTTTTTCTGTGTAGCCCTGACTGTCCTGGAACTCACTCTGTAGACCAGGCTGACCTCGAACTTGCAGAGATCCACCTGCCTCTGCCTCCCCAGTGCTAGGATTAAAAGTGTGGGCCACCATGGCCTGGCTAAACACCTCATTAATAAGACGATCCAGTTTACATTTCTGTTGCTGTGATAAATGCCTTGACCAAAAGCAACATAGGGAGGAGAGGGTTTATTTCATCTTGTACCTTACATTCCTTCATTAAGGGTAGCAAAGGCTGGAACCTGGAGCAGAAACTG